CACCGACTCACCGAAAGGATCCGGTCTCCCCTCCGCAGCTCCCCGCTGAGGTCAGCCGGGCCTCCAGCCAGGATGAAGGACACAAAGATCCCCTCACCATCTTCCCCCCCAACGATGTTGAAGCCCAGGCCGGTGGAGCCTTTGTGCAGGATGATTTTCCGGGGCTCCCTGGAAGGACACACAAGTGACAGGGAGAGATTGGGGTGAGGAGCAGCAGAGCTGGTGACAGGCTCTCCTGTGCCCAGGGCTCGTGGCACATTGGTGGGGCTGGAGTCACCCGAATGCAGCCTGGTGTGACTCAGCCCTCAGCACTGTGGAGACTGATAAACCAGAAGAGGTGGCAGGTGGAGTGACATGAGACACAGCATGGACAGAGACAGAGCATCCACCGTGAAATGACACACAGAAACACTGAACTGCATGGTGGCGTCAGACCACCACCATGAGCCAGGAGGGTGGGATCAAGCCCCTCCATAGCATGGGAAGTGTGCCTGCAGCCCATGAACCCCTCCAGTGCCACAGACTCTGCACAGCTCAACAGAAGTCCTTCATTTTTTGATGACTTAATTCTGTCACAGCTCAAACAATAGGCAGGCAAAAGCAGAAAGACAGCCTGGCATCGCAAAACTCCTGTGTCAGTTTTTGTCTGGGAGAAAAAACCAATGTGATGGGAACAATGGCAGCTCCCAGCTCAAGCTCTGGACTGAAATAAGGAATAAATGATGCCAGACAATTAGCACAGGCTGGTGGTGATTGTCAGCCAAGATGATACTGGAGACCATCAGTGCATCCACTGTGGCTGGATCCTAGGCACTTCAGATCAAAGGCCTGACATTGAGCTCAACAGCCTGACCACCAACTCACCTGCCAGCTATCAGGGGAAATCTCTGGGCTGTGTTAGGAGAGATGCTGGAGCCCAGGCATGGCACTGCGTGAGGCACCCTAAAATGCTGGCAGACTTGTGCTGAGAGAACCCTGGGGCACTGGGGTGGGGGGCTGGAACACACCAGAACCAGCAGATCAGCAAAACCATGGAGATGCTCAGTCAAAAGATGCTCAACCCCAAGTCCTCAAGATGTTACCAGCACTTGTCTTAGGGGCAGTGGTGAGGGGGCAGGGAGGGCTGCAGCCATCAGTCCCTCTGCAGCAAAGCTGTGCCCAGGGCTAGAGCTCTCTCAGGGGAAGAAATAGGTCAGGTTTCTGGGTCTGCAAACCCTGCCTCCAACCAGGAGATGAACTTGCTCTGCCCTTTGGGTTTTGCTGCTGCCCAAGCAGCATGCAGGAAGCACAAACTCAACTCAGCATCCCCAGCACCTGTGAGGACCAGACAGTTTGGTGGAAGGCAAAGAGATCCTACAACAATGAGGGGAGGAAATGAAGCCCCAGCCAGGTACATCACAGATCTCAGTCCTGACGTGCACTCTTGGCTTCCATCCCCCTCACAGGAGGGATGGCACAGATCCTGCAGGCAGATCCCATGCTGAATGTCAGTGTTAACACTGGGACCTCGGCACAGGGCTGCTGAGGGGATCCTGAGGGGCTCTGCTGGGTCTGGGTTGCTGTGGTGGAAAACAGATTCTTTGGTTCCCAGCCCTAGGTGCTGCAGGACGTGAGGGTCACTGGAGCCACATCCACATCTAAGCAGCACCTGTGCCATGGGAGGGGGAGAGGCTGGAAACTGCACTCTGCTATTCCTGAAAAATGGCTGGCAGGAGCCTCATGGGACACAGCTTCTTTTCCAGGGCAGCTGCTGCCTTTCCCCACACCAGTGAGATGCATTCCCACACTGGTGCCAGTGCACAATCTTGGTGCCAGCAGACCCGCAGCCATGGAGTTGCCCTGGGGGGTCAGCAATGCACAGGAGGCTTTCAGCACTGCCATGGGAAGCACGAGCCAAGTGATGAGCCCACTGCAGGCTGTGGATCTGCTGGGTGGCAGGGGGCTGTGTCTGGGCACGCTGGCCCAGTGGTGCCAGCCTGTCTGCACTGGGGCCTTCCACAAGGCAGCACCATCCTCTAGTGGCCACCAGCACGTGCTGCATCAGGGCCACTGCTGAGCCATCACTGTCACTGCCAAGCCTCTACTGGGCCACTGCTGAGCCATTGCTGCACCCCTGTCACTGCCAAGTCACCACTGAACCACTGCTGAGCCATTGCTGTGCCACGGTCACTGTCAAGCCACCACTGAACCATTGGGCAAGACATTGCTGTGCCATGGCCATTGTCAAGCCATCACTGAACCACTGCTGAGCCATTGCTGTGCCATGGCCACTGTCAAGCCACTACTGAACCATTGCCAAGCCATTGCTGTGCCACTGTCACTGCCAAGCCACGACTGAACCATTGCTGAGCCACTGCTGTGCCATGGCCATTGTCAAGCCACTACTGGGCCACTGCCAAGCCATAACTGTGCCACTGTCACTGGAAAGCCACTGCTGAGTCACTGGAAAGCCCAGGTCATACCACTGCCATTGCCAAGCCACTGTGAGCCACTGCTGGGCCATTGTTGTGCCACTGTCATTGCCAAGCCCCTGCTGAGCCCTCACTGTGCCACTGCCACTGGCTAAGCCTAAGCTGGGCTGCTCTTTCTGCTCTCTAACCCACAAATGGGAATGCTGGCAGGTGCAAGAAGGACACCCTGCTGGGACCAGGGTCTCTGGTGTGTTTTCCAAATATTGTGACTCAGCCCCTTCTGTGGTGCACTGTAATGGCAGACAGCACTGCTCCTGCCTGTGGCATCATCCCCCTGTGCCCTGACAGCACAGAAGCTGCTACACCTGCTGAGAATGCAGTGCCAGAAACAGGCTCCAGAACTGGCACTGATGGTGCCAAGCCCAGTGGGAGAGGTGGGTGAGGGTGGGAGACAGTGCTGCACAGGTCATGGCATGCAGGGACACCCAGCTGTGGCTGAGCATCAGGAGGTGAGAAAGCCCTGTGACAAAGATGAGTGCAGACACTCTCCAGGAGGATGGCAGACCTACAGCAGATCAGTCAGGGTCTCCCACTCCAGCATCCAGCACTCAGCTGCAGAATGGGAGAATCCTGGACAAAGCCACTGCATCCTCCACTGTAGGCACACTCCCAAAACCAGCTGCAACCTTGCTCCAAACAGCAGAGCCAGCCCTAAGCCTAAGCCGAGTGCTGGTCCTTATTAATCAGCCTAAGGCCTACAGTCCTGGCCCTGGGGATAGCACATTCAGAGCACTGGCCCCAAGGCTGTGACAAGAAGAGGGGAAGCTGTAACAATCACCTAGTAGAGCAGGACTTTCCAGGTTTGTCTCTCCCAGCCTCAGCTCGAGGCTTTGGAGAAGTTTTATACTGCATTTAGGCTCAGAGCAATGTTTCTTTATTTCCTGGCTTCAGGAAACAAACCTGTTCATGCAGATTAAAGGATTCTACTGGGGCAAAGGGGGCTGTGCCAGGGCTGGACAGGAAGCTGTCAGGCCAGGGGCTGGCAGAATTACACCTGAGTGCAGGTGGTTTGGGCTGCCAGTCTCAGGGAGCATGGCTTATTTGCAAGGCTGAGCTCCCCCCTGGCCCTCCATCCCTGTCCCAGCTCCACCTGGGGATATCCTGGCAGCCTGTGGCACTGCTGGATGGCACCATCAGGGCAGGGAACACCTTGTATTGCAGCCATTGTGAAATAAGCAAGAGAATGAAACTGAAATGCAGTTGTGTGAGGCTTGTGAAAGAGTAGGAGAGGGAATGGAGAGGGAGTGAATGCAGCAAGGCAGAGATTGACACAGCAGGGCTGGTCTCAGGGGGTGAGCACAGAGCTCATTATGGGGACCTCAGGCATTGCAATAAATGGCCTTTTGAGGCTCTGCACTGGCAGTGGGGATGACATCAAGTCACCACAGAGAGAAAGTGATGGACTGAGAAGGAGCATGATGGGGATGCTGCTGCCTGGTGCTCACCTGGTGAAGTCATCATCTCCAATCATGTGCCGAGGGATGGGCGAGTACCGGGACGGAGTCACCTGGGCAGGGAGGGGATAGGCAGGCTTGCTCTCAACGCTGCCCAGGTAGCCCAGACTGGAGTTATGGCTTATGTGGTTGTCAGCCAAGCCTGAGAAGGCTGCAGGGGAGGAGAAGGCCATCAGGAGCAGAAATGCATAGACAGTGAGGACACGAGACCAGCCCAGCCCTGCTCCCCAGCCCTGCAGGCTGAGGTGCCCCAGCCCCTGTGCCCCCAGCCCTGTGTGCTCCCAGCGCCGTGTGCCCCCAGCCCAGCAGGCTGAGGTGCCCCAGGCCCGTGCCCAGCCAGGCGTACGTACTGCTGGCGTAGTCGGGGGGCGCGTACATGTCGTTGAGGTGGATGTTGCCAGGCTTGGCCACTTTCAGGTACACCATGTCAGAGGTGTTCTTCAGGGCAGCCACGGCCTCCTCGTGCCGCACGTCCTGCAGGTTGGTGTTGTTCACCTGCCAGAAGGAAAGGTGACATGGCTGAGCAGGAGGGCAGGGAGCAGGGCAGGGGAGGTGCCACAGCAGCTCCAGAGGCATTGTCCCATCACCTTGGGTTTGACCCCCCTGCCTGCAGACATTACTGAGCCTGCCCTCCCACAGCAACATGCCAGCAGGAGCCCCAGGGAAGAGGGGTGAAGCTGCTGACAGGATGGGTGCTGGGGTTCAGGACCAGCACTGCATGGCAGTGGGAGCTGTTCAGCCTCTCCTCACAGCTGGCTGTGGGCACGGGGCTTACCGCAAGCAGCCGGTCCCCGATCTGCAGGCGCCCGTCCTTCTGGGCAGCGCCTCCCTCGATGATCTTGGTGATGTAGATGCTGTTGTCCCCAGGGATGTGCTGGTTCCCAATGCCCCCTGCAATGCTGAACCCCAGGCCTGAGGGAGAGTGAGAATGCAGGTGAGGGACAGACACACAGACAGATAGACAGAGACCACAGCCACTGTGCCTCACAGGCATTCACACCCTGCCCAAACCCAGCAGGCAATGGGTCACCCCAGCCTGGCCACCATGGGTCTGTCCCATACCCCGTGTCCCCCAGCACTGTGGGTCTGTCCCATACCTCCTGTCCCACAGCACTGTGGGTCTGTCTGTCCCATAGCCCCTGTCCCCCAGCAATGTGGGTCTGTCCCATACCCCGCATCCCCCAGCACTGTGGGTCTGTCCCATACCCCCTGTCCCACAGCACTGTGGGTCTGTCTGTGTCATACCCCGTGTCCCCCAGCACTGTGGGTCTGTCTGTCCCATACCCCGTGTCCCCCAGCACTGTGGGTCTGTCTGTCCCATACCCCGTGTCCTCCAGCACTGTGGATCTGTCCATACTCCCTGTCCCCCAGCACTGTAGGTCTGTCCATACCCCCTGTCCCACAGCATTCCACGCTGCTCAGCCACCCCTCAGCACCTTGCACTGCAGCGGTGCCACCCTGCATGCCACACCCCCCTGAGGCTGCCCTGCACCTCACATCTCACACCAAGAGTCACCCCATGCTGTCCTGTGGGGCAGGGGGGCACCCTGGCGCAGTGAGCAGAGCTCAGCGCTCACCTTTGGGGCCCTTCATGAGGTTGACCTCCATGATGGTCTCTGGCGGGGGCTGCCGGCGGCGCACCACGAGCCGCACCACGGGGCCGGCCTCCTTCAGGGCCTCCACTGCTTTGCTATGCACCACCTCAGACACGTCCACGTCGTTCACCCGCAGCACGCAGTCGTTCACCCTGTGGGCACAGCGTGGCTCTGAGCATCCCTGGGGAACCACCAGCGCGTGCCACCCTCCTCTGGTCACCCTGTGCCACCCTCCTCCAGCCACCAAATGAGAGCTGCTCAAGCTGGCAGATCATGCCCTGCTGGGGTGAGAAAGGGATCCCTCCCAAAGCAGGGCTTGGTCCCTATAGTGCAACCCTGATGGAGATGGGAGATGAGAAGGAAGGCTGGGTCCCTGCCCTGGGCTGTAATGGGATGGGTGGGAGCACGAGCCTGATATAGGGAGGGGAGGACAGGTGGCTACAGACAGGAGGCTGGTGGCCAGCGATGGTGGACAACCCTGTCCAGAGGGGATCTGGATGTGGGAAAGAGGCATATGGAGGCCAAAGACCACATTGGGAAAAGGGGTTAGGCCTAGAGGGTCCATGCAGAGATCCTGGGTGACCCCCTGGCTGCTCCCCCAGCCCTGTACTCACCCTAGACGGCCATCCATGGCTGCTGCTCCCCCGGGGATGATCTTGGTGATGAAGATGCCCGGGTCATCTGGAACGTGGGGGTTGTCGATGCCTCCCGCTATGCTGAATCCAAGGCCGGAGTTCCCCTGTGGGAAATCAAACGTAGTGTCCTGCCCCCATGGGCACCTGCGTGCTGCCAGCCCTCCTGAAGCGGTTCCCCCCAGCTTTGGGGCTGCCTGGGGCGCAGGAGGAGCCCTGACAGCAGCTCTCCCACCGCGGGGTGGCCGGCCCAGGGGGCTCAGGGATGCTGCTGGAGGAGAGGCTGGCGTTCCTCAGTGCAGCAGCGTGGAGCACTGAACAGATGGAGGCAGAGTGGGAACCTCCCTCAGCACCGCGTCTCCACGGAGAGCGCGAGGCAGGCGGGGAGCTGGGGGAAGAGGAGGTGGTCCTTGGCGGAGAAAACCTCCCCTTGCTGGCTGCTCCCCAGGAGGAGACACCGATGCTGCAGCCTGCACGGAGCAGCGGGGATTGTGCCAGTCACCAGCATCCCACTCCTGCCCCTCTGCACCCTGGGATGTAGCCCTGGCACAAAGCCCAGCTGGGGACCAGCAACGCTGATGACAAAATCTACAGCTTTGCGTGGAGGTGGCGATCAGGATGGAGTGGGCTCTCCAGTTCTGTCTCCTTTTCCTCACAGACATGCTTGTCCTGCCCAATTCTGCCTGGGGGAATGCAGGGACCACAGCTCATCTCCAGGCCATCCCCCCAGCACCTCAGGATTGAGTGGCTGTGGCCCTGTGCCACCTCTCCCACTTGCAGGATCCTCATTAGTGACACACTCACAGGCGCTGCTTCCAGATCCATGCCTGATGCAAGTGGACAATTCCTGCCTTTTTTGCTCTGCCTTGAAAATCAGATGGCTCCTTGCCTTGTTTCCTCATGTGGAAGAGCTGACACTTAGTCACAGACAGTTGTGCCTGCCTCTCTCGAACACGAGTGGGCTCAGGCCAAGCTCTCCTGGCTGCCCATGGCCCTGGTGCTCAGTGGGGGATGAGGGGGTGCTCTGCTCTTCCAGGGTCCCTGTGGACTCCATCTCCCCAGGATAATTTAGCACCAACAGCTAGCTGGAACTTGCCCTTCTCCCCAGCAATCTTGCCCCAGCATCAGTGATGCAGAGCTGGCTTTGTGACACTTGTGACACAGCACCAGGAGCCACCAATGCCTGCCACTGTGCAGTGCTCCTGGATGCTCCCTGGCCAGCTGGGATTTGGCTGGCATGTGAAATGGAGGCATTCAACAGTAAAGGGTCTGGGCTGCTCTCTTTCCTCTATGCTGGGTTCTGATTACCCTGTGCCTAGCTGAAAAAAGCTCTTTACTGTCACAGAGACCAGGCCTGGCTGCAGCAAGGCAGGTGAGATTGCAAAATGATCTCCAGCCATTAGTTGTGCCTGTCTATGGAAGGTCCTTGGTTAGCTACAAAACCTGGAAATGATCTGGGAGGTGTTAATTTTTATTCTGATAAACCTCAAGAAGAAGTTCAAGGGATTTCTTAGCTGACATCAGCGTTGATGCCCTGATGCCAGGGCAGTTCCTGCTGTGGACATGTATGGTGGGTAAACACAAAGCCATGTCCCTCTGCAGATTGTGTTTCTGCTATTATTGCCCCCAAAATGCTGCTGCATTTACGTTTGTCCTTACAACAAAGACAAGGATTAATAACAGTGACTGACCACGATTTTTGAATTGACCTTCCAGAGGTCAATTCTGGAAGCCAAACACCCCAGCAAGGAGACAGCCTCACCCATAGGCACCAGGGTGCTTCTCCTGCATTAAGACAGGATTGTTGGATCCTACAGGAACCAGGTGAAAGGGAAGGACCTGGGTGTGGTCCATGTTGGCCCAGGCTGCCAAGCAGTGAGATTCCCTCATGATTCCTTGCTGTTGGAGAATGAATTGCTGCTCAGGGCTTTGAAATGAGGGCATCAATGAGTGCTGCCTCTCTGTGTGGTCCTGCCAGCTCTTTCCCTGTTCCCACCATGTGCTGAGGACAGAGGATACTCTGAATCCCTCAGACAAGGCTTCTGCCCGTGACTGGGGCCCGGAGCAAGAAGCACTGAGCCCAAAAAGGAAGGAAGGAACCTCTGGGCTGGTTTCGTCAGGCACACCGGGGAAGCGGTGGGTGAGGCGGCAGCCCCAGATAACCTTCCGTCCACCCACCTCTGTGATGCAGAGCCAGGGGAAGGAGGGAGATGACTAAAGGCACAGAGGAACAGAATAATGAGCGCTGCCTCTTCCCCTGCACTGCCGGCCACGCGGCGAAGCTGAGCCGCCGGCA